CCCGCATCTGGGGCGAGGCTTGCGGTCGCCATGGCGCCCGTGGCACCAGGGGTTGCGGGTCTCGTCGTCCTTGCGTGGGCGGCCGCTTCTTTTTCCTAATTTTCTGGTGATCGTGCGCGCCCGCGGCGCGTGCGCTCTCGCGGTCGCTCGGCGCGAGTGTCAGGCGCCCCGCTCTGGGGGAAGGCGCGTAGCACACGCGTCCGCGAGGGTTTCCATCCGAGCACGGGGGCTGTCTCTGGACGGCCCCGACCGTGGCTCGTGTCGCGGCGTCGCAGAGGCCAGGCTGCCTGGGCCTGGCCCTCTCATCGCTGGATTCTCTCCTTTACAGGCGCTTTATCTCGCCGCCCTGCTAGTCTGTGCCCATTTCGTTGGAGCGGGCGGCGGCGGGTCCTTGATCGCTCTGCCCAGTTGGTCTTTGACCGCATCTGGAGGGCCCGCCATGGGGGCGCTGACTCAGGAGGCGAGATGGGCCCACACCTGGGGCAGTTCAGGGGCCGTCCAGGCGTCCGCCTTCGTGGTTAGGTACACCTGGGGTTATCCTGACTGTCGTCCTGGCGTCGCCCTATCTTTCCCTGCTCGTTGTTTCAGTGTTGCCGTATTTTTCTTTTTTGTGATCATGCGCGTCCGTTGTGCGCGCGCTCCCGCGGTCGCTCGGCGCGCGCATCAGGCACCCTGCTCTGGGGGAAGGCGCATGGCACACACGTCCGTGATGATTGCCATCCGAGCACGGGGGCTGTCTTTGTACGGCCCCGACAGTGGCTCGTGTCGTGGTCTCGCAGAGGCCAGGCTGCCTGGGCCTGGGCATCTCTTCGCTGTTCTCTTTCACTTACAAGTGTTTTGTTGCGCGCAGCCGTGGCCCGCTGTTGGGGTACCCGAGCTGCTGTGTTTTGTCGTGTGCCTCGTACGCGCTCCGCCTCATAGAGGCTCGCGCCGCGGGTGCCAGCTCTCCGCTCCCCAGCCGCACCCGTGGGCACCGACTGATTGTCGCCGCGTACCTCAAAGGAGGTAGCCAGCGGCGGCAGTCCTTTACAGCCGAGGTGCTTGTTTGCGGGAGCTCGCGCCTCGTTTGCTCATCCCGAGGTCCTGTCAACAAAAAAATCCCCCTCCTCCTCTTCCCGTGGCAGTGGGAATTCGGAATCCGAAACGAGCGACACGCTTCAAAGCAGTTCTGAAACGCTGCTTTGGTCGTGCAAAGCGGTGCCCGGGCACCGCTTTGAGCTGCGCGGATTTCTGGTTAGAACGGGACAAGGCAACACAATGATCGCATGGGGCGTTGTCTTTCGACGTTATCGCGGCCACGCCTTCCTTCTCATCCTGCTTTCTTGGATCAGAAAATCCTCCACCTTGTCCTCCTACTCGCCCTCATCCTCCCTATCCAATGCCCTCTCCTGCCTTGTGCTTCCTTGCTGATCAGCACCCGCTCTCTTTCCTTCCTCCCCCCTTTCCGGCGACGATGTCGACGACGACGATGACGATGACGACGGCCACGAAGACGACGACAGAACTTTTGTTTTGGCAACAAGGTACGTACTCATGCATACAATTACACATTCACACTCGTACATGTATATGCACATGCAAATGCACATGCAAATGTAGCTGTGTACATGTGTATGTATTTTTGGATGTAGATGTGTATGTGGATGTGTATCTATGTGTATGGGCATGCGTATATACGTGGGCAGATCGATATGGGTCGAAAGCTTCAGGTTTAGTCCCCCCTTTGGTCATACTCGCATCTCCCAGAATTTCTGGGGCGCCCCCCGCCGCGAGCGTTCTGACCACCTCCCTGGGGCCTGGGGCGCTTGCCCCCGCCGCGAAGGAGCGTTCAGGGGGGGCGCCCTGGAAAAACGAACCCTCGACCCCCTCCCACGAATACGCCACATGCGGAGCTGGCCGGAGGCCTTCATCCTGCTCGTGTTTTTCCTTTTCCTCCTCCACCTCTTCTTCTTCTTCTTCTTCCTCCTCCTCCATTGACGTTCGGCCCAAGCCCGCTCCGGTAATTAGATTCGACGGCGGTTTGGCGGGCTCGCTTTGAAGCAGGAGTAACATGTAAAGAACATGGGTTTCGTAGGCGCTTGGAAAAGCCAACAACGTCTCGACAGGGGGCAGCCGTTGGAGCTACTGTACCGCGAAGCATTCAGGAGTTCATGGGGCTCCTCAAAACGTACTGCGCAACTGAGCACACGCCATCATGGGATTGCTGCCCAAGTTACAAATCCAGTGGGGGCGTTCTGCTTCGCGCAGCTCGTCCCGAATCGAGCCTGCATTATGTCTGCTCGGCCCGACCCTCTTCACGAGGCGGAGCGGCAGGGCGGAGGGCATGCCGCGGAGCGGTCCCAAATGGCCCAAAGGACGCCGGTAATTGCCAGACACAGAGTTTCGAGAAGTTCAAGAACGAAACCAAAAACAATATCAAGTAGGCGTTCCAGCGTCTTCGATGTTTGGTTACATGTCGGTTGTTTCACCACGTTCGCATTCTTCACACGAAGGTCGATGGCGTTTTGCTCTGGGCACTTCTTTCCTTCGTCCTCCCTCCCTCGTCGCTGCCCCATCTTTCCTTCTGCCCGTTATTGTGGAGGTACTGTAGATTTGTCACGGCTCTGTTGTTCAAGTGTTGGTTTGTTGGCGCGCGTTTGGCGCGACGACGGTATCTCCTCCTCCCCCTCGATCGGGCCAGCAGGGCTAGTCGAGGCTGCAGGCCCGTGGAGTCTGTCGGAGGCCTGCTTCGCGAGAGGCTGGCCCCCCCGCGGCGGCGTGAAGCGTGAGCCTGGCTGCCGCTGCTCGGAGGCCCCAGGACGGTGTGGTGACCCCACCGTGTGGTGAGTCGGTGGGGCTTCGGGGTCACTGCACGGCTCTGGAACTCGAGGCCCTCGCGGGGGATGTCTCGGGCGATTGGGGCCTCCAGGGTCCCGAGACCGTGCGGTGACGGCCCGTGCGGTGAGGTGTCGGGGGGTTCCGAGGTCACCGCACGGCCTGTCGCCACACGGCGTTTGGGGTCCCCAGCTTGCGCCCCGAGCCGACCCGAGATCACGGTCTTGCTGCTGCTGTTGTTGTTGTTGAAGATTATTATTTCTAAAGAATAATTATTGTTGGGGCCCCTGGTGCGCGACCCCCCCGCCGCGCCTAGGTCGCAGCCTCATTTTCATCATTTTCGTGAGGAAGTCTCAGGCAAAACGGGTTGGTCCGGATCCGGTTGTGTTGTTACGATCGGTTTTCCCTTGCAAAAAAATAAGCTAAAGTGGACATTTCTTGTTCTAACATAACCAAACTTCAAGAATCCCTTGGAAACGATAAAGTAAACCATAACATAACCATTGTTACGATCGGTTGTCCCTTGCAAACGATAAAGTAAAGTGGACATTCGCGCGCGCAAGACGAAATCCTTCCAAAACCTTAGTTTTCGTAGCGATTTTAACATAAAAACATCAAACAACCAATGTTTTTTCAAAAAAAAATTGTCAAAATGTCATCCCGCGCGCTCTTGCGGATTCGTAGGAAACCCAACACTTTTTAATAATTTCTGTCAAACGGGCTTTTGCGAGCAACTTTTTCGAACTTCTGCAACAACGGTTGCGCACCTGCCAGGGCCATCATCCCTGTCAAATAATACCATGCGGGACACATTCGTTTTTTCTTCGCGCGCGCACGCCGTCGTCGTCGGCCGCGGGGCCCTGAATAGTAGCCACGGTCGTCCGCATGCCACGAAGTGAAGTGTCCGAACGTCATAGGGCGGGAAGCTGGGTGTGGGTGGTGGCGAAGAGTCGTTTGGAAATGTGGTAGAGCTTGAACCGGCCCCCCCACAAAGTGGGGGTATTGCCCGCCTCCTATAAAAACCCTGGCACTGGTGAGAACGGTGTGTCCCCGCGTGCTAGTAATTGTTGTTGTTGTTGTTGATGTTGTATGTCCTCGTCTTCCTCCTTCCTCCTCCGTTTCCTCCTGCTCGTCGTCCTGCTCACCCGCCATTCTGCCCTCCAACTTTCGACGCTCCTTCCGTCCGATTGCGCAAAGCACGATCGGGGTTCTTCGGTAGGTATAGGGTATCGGGGCTCCCGAGATGTTAAGATCACGCTGCGTCTACGTGTGCCAGTTTAGTTGCACGTTCGTGCTGTGTTTGTCTTTATCAACGATGGGGCGTTTCAATTTCGTCATGGTGCCGTTCAAATTTCACTCCAGTTTGGTTCCAGCGCCGTCTCAGTATCCCTCTGGTGTCGTCTCTATGTCGTTTCAGTTTCGTTCCAGTAACGTTCCTGTGTCGTTCCGTTTCCATATCGACAATCAGAAACGCGTGCGTCATTTAAGGGTCTTGTTACCTTATGCCTAATTATTTGAAGTCTAGGTCCGCTATGACACGCGTCGGCGGACAGAAACAAAACTTGCAGTGGGAAGGGCTGGGCGGGAGGGGTAGGATGTCAGCTATGGCGCGAGGGCACCTGACTTGAACAACCCCCGTTGCTTCATCCCATGCTGGGCCGAAGAGCGGACCCGATGGGGAATGCCTCGGAATCCACTGCGTACCTCCTTCAGTCGGGTTTTTAGGTCCGATCTTTTGCTTGGGCGGAAACCCGAGCATGACCCCGAGCCGAATCCGATCTCGGGCACCCGATTTCGATCTGTCGAGGACCCTCCTGCTTTCTGATGCAACTCCTGGGAGGTTAAACTCTAACTCTCTGGTCCGAAATCCGGCTTACTGAGGCTTAATCCCGCTCAATCCCGCTCAATCCGCGGCCTGATCTGGCGCAGTGCCCCCCCAAAAGAGTGTTGTCTTTCTTGTCTTTTCCGGCGAAGACCTCCCAGTACAGTGAGCGGCTTGAGTAAGGAACACTTACTTTTCAAAAGGGGCTCGATCGTTCCTTAGGTTTGCATGCGTTATTTACAGTTCCTTAGGCGTTATGTGTTATGTATAAAGAGGGGTTTCGTTCCTTATTTATCATTCCTTAGGTCAGCGCCCCGACTGTAGCTGCCTCCCAACCTCTGCTTCCTCCCACGCCGGGGGCCAGGAGACGGGATCAGCAGCCAGGAGCAGCTGATGCAGCTCCTGCGGCGCTCCCGCACCTGCGTGCCCCACCGCCGCGCTTGTGCGCGACCGCGGCGCCCCGTGTCACCGCTGGCCGTCGTCGCTGCTGGCCGTCGCCGCCGTCGTCGTCGTCGTCGTCGTCGTCGTCGTCGATTTCGTCGTCGTCGTCCGCAGCCGCCTCTGCATGAGGAAACTATGCCGATATTGCTACCCATTCCTCGTCTCCGCGGTTGGATGTTGCTCGAAGTTGTAGTCACAACGACCCCTTCAAGATTTCTGGGTAGTAGGGGTATCGGTGCTTGTTGTCCCTTGCCATCGTCGTTGTCGTCGTTGGTCGCCCCCCGTCGTTGGCGTCTGTTGTTGGTCGTGGCGCTCGATCGTCGTAGTGGTCGGAACCTTCGAGGCGGCCATCGGTTGCATCAGGCTTGAAAGGAGAAGGATGAGGATGATGGAGCAGGGGAAGTCGAGGATAAGGAGGATGATGAGTAGGGGGACAAGGAGAGGGGCAGGAGACAAAGGTGGGAGAGGGAGAAGAGGGATGGATGGGACCAGTCTGCGTGGGAGGAAGGGAAAAGGGAGATGGACGTGGGACATTGGAGGAGGATGGCGGATGTGGGAGGAAGCGGGAGGAGGCAGAAGGATGAGGGAGGGATGACGAGTACAAATGTATTTCTTTTGTTTTTTTTGGGGGGGAGATGAATGATATTGGGGGAGGAAAAGGGAGGATGACTTCGACGGGGAGGAGGGGATCTACCAGGGGATTTGCCGGCCCGCCGCGCGATCAGTTCAAACCGCACACTGGTCTGTGTTTCCCGGATCGCCATTACTGGTTACAAGATGATGCGTTTGGCCGCAAAGTCATATGAAATTTCTCAGGAGGGACAAAAAAGGCACAAACACAATGAATCGTCGATCCCCAGGACAATATGGGAAAATATTGGGAAGTGGGGGGGAACGAAAACCCCAACAATATAGGAACATATGGGGAATCCTATTAATTGTGTGTATTTATTCGTGTGTCCTGGGGCCCCTTAAATTTCGTTTTTCTTTGGGCACATATCTCTCCCCGTGTGATTTCTTCTCCGTCCCCGCCTCCCCCTGCATCAGCTCAGCCCGTCTGCTCCATCTTCTCTCTTCTCGCCGCCCTTCGCCATTTGTCCCATCTCTTCCCACTGCCTCAACCTCCTCGTCTCCTTCCTCCTTCTCCCCACTCCTCCCCAGAGATCCGATGCATGTCTTTAAGATACCGGATCCCGGGCAGCCTCAACCCTTTCCTCCCAGGGACCAGCTTTTCAACCGAGTCGTGCTGTTGACGTTCCCAGGTCCCGTAGAGTGCCCCCAGTGTCTGATAACGGCAGCAAAAAAGCGCGACCTCGACCTGTTGCCAGTGCGCTGGAGGGATGTCAGCCCTGGTCAGCCTCACTATCCGAGAGTCCCGTTCTCCTTGCCCTCCGACGAGGACGGCGGCGGCGACGGCGGTGGCGCGGCCGGCCAGGAGGAGTCCCGACGCCAGACCGAGAGGGCGCACCCCTTCTGGGACACGCAGCCCGTGCCCTCCATGGCCTCGGAGTACTCGAAGGAGATCCTCCTCCTCCACCTCCTCCTCCTCCTCCTCCTCCTCCTCCTCCTTCCTCTCCTCCCCTCCTCCTCCTCCTCCCCCCCCTCCTCTTCCTCCTCCTCCTCCTCCCTCTCCTCCTCCTGTGGGCACAAAATCGTCTTCCCCCTCGCGCCCCACCCTCGGGAGGCTGCCTCCCGCCGTGGCACGCGAGCACGACGGAGTGTCTGTCGCTGTGCTCGGCATCCGCGGGCCTTGTTCGGGCCTCGGGATCTTCAAACAGCGACTCGGGATGACATGCCGGTCCCCAGGAAAGGGTCCAGACTCTGCTTGGGGTCCACGTTATGACAAAATCATGTCGTCGGGGTCTGGGTTCTCCCCCTCCCCTCCTTGTTCCCTCTCCTCCCGCTTCCCTTTCTCCCCTCTCCACTCTTACGGAAGGATGGTGCCGCAGGCAGGCAGGAGGAGCAGGAGGATTTCTTTTAACATCAAACCACACGCACACACAAGGAAACGAGAGAGAGAGAGAGGAAAAGGCAAAAACTCAGAAAAAAAAACTCAGCCCTCAACATCGTTAGACCAGGCCCGACGTCAACTGTCACACCGTCGTGCTTGGGATGGAGGCCCTGAGTTATGCGCTTCCATGAGTATCTGCGACCACTGGCCCCCTTCAGGGGGAGGGGGCAACACTCACGGCGGAGACCACGCACTTGACCTCCGCAGGTATAATGTTTGCAGCGGGGGCATACAAAAACAAACGAGTGATCACTCGCTTCCAGATAAGTCATGCAGTGCCCGAGCCTCAGGAGTTTTGGGCCATCGAAGCCACGGATGCCCACCCCAAGACCCCCGCGGCAAACCCCAGGAAGAGGACAAAGGATGGCCCTGGATCCACGGAAACAACGCTCGCACTGCCAGAACCTCCCTTGCCAACTCCATGCGTGACCAACTGTACTAGGCCTCGCTGGGATTGGGGAGGAGGGGGAGGAGGATCAGTGTACACCCAAGAGTCATCAACGATGTTGGAATACAACCCTCCCTCCAAGCTCCCTCGTCATAGGCCCCTACAGCATTTCATTTCCGTTGAGGGAGCTGCCTCGTTGGAAGACAGCCGTTTGAAGACCCTGAGGCAATGCCGAACCATTATTATCTGGATTCCAACGCCACGAATGAACCTGACTGTTGCGTTTTGACCGTTCTGAATCGTGCCAGAACGCCGTTCTTGGGACTTCAACACCGCGAATCAAAGTGACTGTTGTACCCACAAAACCTTGAAGCCCTCCAAAACACCATTTCTGATATTTTGATCCTGGGAATCCGTGAAACTCTTGCACAGCTCATGAACGAATGTGCGTGGCGCTAAGGCGTGAGCCACATTTTGAAAAGGAGCTGCCCTCAATCCGCGAAACCCTTAAAAATTGTTTAAAAAGCGAATGTGCGCGGCGCTAAGTTGAAAACGGGAGGCCCTCACTCAGCGAGACCTTTCAGTTTTTACAGCCAATTTGCGCTGTGCGAAGGCGAGAGCCACGTTTTTCAAATGGGTCGCCCTCAATATGTGAAGCCCTTGGAGTGTTTAAAAGCAAATGCGCGCGGCGCTCGGACGAGGGCCACATTTTGAAAACGGATTGCCCTAAATCCGTGAAGCCCTTGCAAGTGGTTGCAGCCAATGCTCGCGGCGCTAAGGCGAGAGCCACAGTTTGAGAACGGGTGGCTCTCAATCCGTGAAGTTCGTGCACTTGTTTTGAACGAGTGTGCGCGGCGCTGAGGCGAGAGCCACGTGTTGAAAACCACCCGCCCTACATGTGCGAAGCTGTTGCCACGGTTAACGCCCCGCATGCCCTCAAAATTGGCCTCGGGGTGCAACAGGGATAAGTTATTCATATGGAAGGTGAAGGGTGGAGGAGGATGAGGGGGAGTGGGGGAGGAGGAGGAGGAGGAGGAGGAGGAGGAGGAGGAGGAGGCGGAGCATAGAGGAGGAGGAGGAGGAGGGGGAGGGAAATTGGGGAAGGAGGAGGGGGAGGAGGAGGAGGAGGAGGAGGAGGCGGAGTTGGAGGAGGAGGAGAGGAGGAGGAGGAGGAGGAGGAGGAGGAGGAGGGGGATGAGGACCAGGAGGGGGAGGAGGAGGGGGAGGAGGAGTGCCTGCCATGAGGGCCTGCTGTCAGGCGCCAGCTGCCCACGCCCTGCGCTGAGCGCGGCCCGCGGTTGCCCCACGATCCCCGCGAGGGCCCCAGGAGCCATGTGGGTTCTGCTGATTTTGAGGATTTCGATCTCGATTTCGAGGATTCCGACTTGGATTTCTAGTCCGATATCGATTCGGTTTCGAAGTCGAGGATGTCGGTGTTGGCGGGCTTCGATTTCGATCCGACTTGTGATTTCGTGGATTTCGCAAGCCCTCGGTTTGAGTTCGAGGATTGCGAGTTAGATCTGTTTCGATTGCGAATTCCGACGTCGGTTTGGCATTCCTTGTGTTGGCCTCGGCTCGAGCCGCAGGGCGACGAGTTCTGCCGATTTGACGCAAGTGATTCTCGATGGTATCTTCCGATTCGATCGTGGGTCATCTTGGGGCCCGTTGCCAGAGGTCTTTGCCGCCCTCCTCCGTCCCATCAGCTGCTGCCGCGGCTGCTGCCCCTGCTGCCGCCGTTGTCTACTTTCGTGGGTGGTCCTTGAACTCGGTGCTCGGCAGTGGCGTGGGCGGCAGTGCGGCACCCGCCGTTTGCCGCCCGGTGCCTCAGGAGCTCGCGCCATCCCAGGGCCTTGCGTCGCATCACCCCGCTCGGCTTCGCCGTCCTCGCCGTCGCCGCAGCCGCCGTTGCTGCCGCGCCGCCGCCACGCCGCCGTAGTTGGTCGACGCAGGCCCCCCGCGCCATACAATACATATATATATATATATATATACATGCATGCATGCATGCATACTCACACACATACACACGTACATACATACATATAAACATACATACACATACACACATATGTATATACATATATACATATATACATACATACATACATACATACATACATACATACATACATACACATACATGCACGCATTCATTCATACATACATACATACATACAAACGTACACCTACATACATACGTGCACACATACATGCATACATACACACATGCATACGTACAGGTTTGCACACACACATACATACCTACATACATGTGATTGCATACTTCTGCATACGCGCATGCAGACATACGTACATACGTACATACACTCATACATATATACCGGTATGAGTGCGTAAATGCATACACACATACACACTCGTTCACGCATACATCCAAGCATACATGTACATATAGAAACTTACCTGCATACACTACACATCTATAAATCCAAACATGCATACGTACATACATGCATACGCACATGATCCATATTCTTTCACTCACATACACACGTACATACAGACACACATGCATCCACTTATACATACATGTACACACCTACATGCACACACATGCATACACACACATATATATATACATACATATATACATACATGCATACATACATGCCGAAAACATTCACACAATCATACATTCATACACGCATACATATACACACACTTACACACATACGCATACATACACACATACCTTGAGACATACATACATACACACATGAATATATCCATACATACATGCATACACAAATCTACATGTACACATGCATACATACATGTATGCATACATACCTACATCAGAGTGAGGGGCGCGAACGGTCATGAATTGTCCCTGGGTGCGTGGCTGAATAGGGAACTCGTGGTTAGAATTCTGCTTGATGCGTTGTTGTTGTTGAATGTTAACTGCGAAATAACTATTCTTTTTGGACCCCCCAGGCGCTTTGACGCTCTCGCCTCGGCACTGGCTACATTTTCATTGAAAATGAGGCTTACGCTCGAGCGGTTTGGGGGGGCGCCAAAACCGACCCCCAAACAACAGCAACGCTCCCTCTCGAGAGTTCTCTCTTTTATACTCAGGGCCAGTGCTCTTGCTCGCCGCCGAAAGCCGCCGTCCCAATAAGACCAGCGCTTCCGCTCGAGACTTACTTCCGTTTTACCTTGGGCTGGCGCGCTCTCTTTCTCTCATCGGCGCCGCCCCCAGAAACAACAACGCTCCCGCTCGAGATTGTCCCACTTTGCTCAAGACGGTGCTCCTCCTCGCCGCCGAAAACCGCCGCCCCGAGAAAACCAGCGCTCCCACCCAGACTGCCTCCCGTTTTGCGCTGGATATTCTCTTTTGAATTTGCGCCGCGCCCAGCAAGAACAACGCTCTTGCTCGAGAATTCCTCCCTTTTCCTCTGGACGGTGCTGTTCCTCGCCGCCGACAGCCCCCATCCCGACAAAACCACGGCTCCCGCTCGAGACTTCTTTCCTTCTTATTCCAGGCGGTGTTCTTCCTCGCCGCTGACAACCGCCGTCCCAACAAAACCAGCGTTCCCGCTCTAGACTCGAGACTTCTTTTTGTTTTGCACTGGACTAGCGCCCTACTCTCTTCAGCATTGGCGCTGCTCCCAGCAACAACAGCGGCCCTGCTCGAGACTTCCTCCCGTTCTATTCGCAGGTCCTTGCCTTGCTGCCGACAGCCCCCATCCCCACCAAGGCAATCCTGTCGCTCGATACTTCCTGGTGCTTTATCCTAGGCTGGGGCTCCACTGTCGGTCTCGTATCGGTGCAGCAAGGCGCAGACATTCGTTTTCGAGGCAGGATTTGTTGAGCTTTCTCGGGGGAGGTGTTTGCAAGACCTCATTGGGCGGGAGATCTGGGAATGTGAATAACAAACCCCGTTATAGAACAATAATCCCCCATGATGGGGATGGTTATCATGATGGTCGCATGATTCGTGTGGGAACATCGTGCGCGACGGTAAACTGATGATTGTTGTTGTGGTTGTTGTTGTTGAAGTTGCTGTTGTTGTTAGTGTTGTTGTTGTTGCTGTTGTTGTTGTTGTTGTTGTTGTTGTTGTTGTTGTTGTTGTTGTTGTTGTTGTTTGTTGTTTGTTTGTTTGTTTGTTTGTTTGTTTGTTTGTTTGTTTGTTTGTTTGTTTGTTTGTTTGCTGTTGTTGTTGATGTTAATGTTGTTGTTGGTGTTGTTGTTGTTAATCTTGTTTTTGTTACTGCTGTTGTTAATGTTGTTGTTGTTGTGGGTGGTGGTGTTGTTGTTGTTGTTGGTGGTGTTGTTGTTGGTGTTGTTGTTGTTGTGGTTGTTGTTGTTGTTGTTGTTGCTGTTGCTGTGGTTGTTGTTGTTGTTGTTGTTGTTGTTGTTGTTGTTGTTGTTGTTGTTGTTGTTTGTTGTCGTCGTCCCACCCGCGACCAACCCCGTGACCACCCCGCGACCTACCTCGTGACCCACCCGCGCGACCTACCCCGCGACACACCCCGCGACCAACCCGCGACCAACCCGCGACCCACCCAGCGACCCACCCGCGACCCACCCGCGACCCACCCTGCGACCCACCCGACCCACCCCGCGACTCATCCCCCCGCGACCCACCCCGCGACCCATCCTCGATGGAGGGAAAAACACCCGGACCCGACAATTGACGTTTACTGAGCGGCCATGGGCGTTGATTAAACATCCCTGCCCTGCCCGATTTATGCCTTGTGTGCGTTTACTAAACGGCTTCGCTTGTCGGGGTGATTACGTAGCACCCCGCATATGCGGATAAGAGTGAGGGGCCCGTGGGGACGTCGGCAGTTTGCGAGACTCTGGAAAGACCCGCCGCAGGCGCCAAAGTTTCACAAATCATGCAACGAACCCGCCGCAGGCGCCGATCATTTCGTTAAACCAATGTGGGTAGGTCGCAAATGGGTCGCGGTTGGGTCGCGGGTGGGTCGGGGGTGTAGAGGGCTGAAAATTCATCCCATAAGAATCACCCCGACAACCGAAGGAATGAATCAGACAGGGCAGGGATGTTCAGTAAACGCCCAGGGCCGTTGAGTAAACGTCAATTGTCGGGTCCGGGTGGTTTTCCCGCCTTTGAGGACGGGTCGCAGGGTGGGTCGCGGGTGGGTCGGGTGGGTCGCGGGTGGGTCGCGGGGTGGGTCGCGGGTGGGTCGCAGGTGTGTCGCGGGTTGGGTCGCGGGTGGGTCGCGGGTGGGTCGAGAGGTGGGTCGCGTGGTGGGTCGCGGGTTGGTCGCGGGGTTGGTCGCGGGGTGGGTCGCGGGGTGGGTCGCGGGGTGGGTCGCGGGTGGGACGACGACAAACAACAACAACGACAACAACAACACTTACAACAACAACAACAACAACAACAACAACATCAACATCAACATCAACATCAACATCAACAGCATACAAACAACAACAACGACAATGACAACAACAACAACAGCAACAACAATCACTTTACCCGAACGCTCAGTGTTCTCACCAGTGCCAGGGTTTTCATGCGACGCCAGCCAATACCCCCACTTTGTGGGGGGGCAATGCAAGCTCTACCAAATATCCACACGACTCTTCGCCACCACCCACACCCAGCTTCCCGCCCTATGACGTTCGGACACTTCACTTCGTGGCCTGCGGACGACCGTGGCTACTACACTGGCGTGGAGTACACACCCACAGAAGTTGTTAGGACAGCGCGCGCGGGTAGAAATTTTGAAAAGTCGTGCAGGTGTTTTTCGAGGACCTACGGTGCGATTCGTGTGATTTTATGATGCGCGGTGCTAAAAATCTTAAGAAGCCCAATGGTTTTTGGAGATTTCGGCGTGCGCGCGCGAAGAAAAAACGAATGTGTCCCGCATGGTATTATTTGACAGGGATGATGGCCCTGGCAGGTGCGCAACCGTTGTCGCAGAAGTTCGAAAAAGTTGCTCGCAAAAGCCCGTTTGACAGAAATGTTTAAAAAGTGTTGGGTTTCCTACGAATCCGCAAGAGCGCGCGGGATGAGATTTTGACATTTTTTTGTTGAAAAACCATTGGTTTTTTGATGTTTTTATGTTAAAATCGCTCCGAACACTAAGCTTTTGGAAGGATTTCGTCTTGCGCGCGCGAATGTCCACTTTACCTTATTTTTTGCAAGGGATTCTTGAAATTTGATTATATTAGAACAAGAAATGTCATTTTATAGTGTTTTTTGCAAGGGAAAGCGGATTACAACAAAACAACCGGATCTTGATGACATCGTTTACCTGAGGCTTCCTCACGAAAATGATGAAAATGTAGCTGCGGCCTAGGCGGCGCAGGGGGGGCGCGCACCAGGGGGCCCAACAATAATTATTCTTTAGAATAAATAATGTTCAACAACAACAATTACTAGCACGTGGGGACACTCCGTTCTCACCAGTGCCAGGGTTTTCATAGGAGGCGGGCAATACCCCCACTTTGTGGGGGGGCCGGTTCAAGCTCTACCAAATTTCCAAACGACTCTTCGCCACCACCCACACCCAGCTTCCCGCCCTATGACGTTCGGACACTTCACTTCGTGGCATGCGGACGACCGTGGCTACTATTCAGGGCCCCGCGGCCGACGACGACGGCGTGCGCGCGCGAAGAAAAAACGAATGTGTCCCGCATGGTATTATTTGACAGGGATGATGGCCCTGGCAGGTGCGCAACCGTTGTCGCAGAAGTTCGAAAAAGTTGCTCGCAAAAGCCCGTTTGACAGAAATGTTTAAAAAGTGTTGGGTTTCCTACGAATCCGCAAGAGCGCGCGGGATGAGATTTTGACAATTTTTTGTTGAAAAACCATTGGTTTTTTGATGTTTTTATGTTAAAATCGCTGCGAACACTAAGGTTTTGGAAGGATTTCGTCTTGCGCGCGCGAATGTCCACTTTACCTTATTTTTTGCAAGGGATTCTTGAAATTTGATTATATTAGAACAAGAAATGTCATTTTCTATTGTTTTTTGCAAGGGAAAGCGGATTACAACAAAACAACCGGATCCTGTACACACCCTCTTTTCTGAGGCTTCCTCACGAAAATGATGAAAATGTAGCTGCGGCCTCGGCGGCGCAGGGGGGGCGCGCACCAGGGGGCCCAACAATAATTATTCTTTAGAATAAATAATGTTCAACAACGACGCAACAAGCAGAATTCTGACCACGGATTCCCTATCCAGCCACGCACCCAGGGACACTGAATGACCGTTCGCCCCCCTCACTCTGATTAGGGGGTGGATTTTCTGCACTACACCCGCGACCCAACAGCGACCCAATTGTGGCCCATCCGCGACCCACCCGCGACCTACCCACATTGGTTTAACGAAATGATCGGCGCCTGCGGCGGGTTCGTTGCATGAATTGTGAAACTTTGTCGCCTGCGGCGGACTTTTCCTGAGTCTCGCAATCTGCCGACGTCCCCACCGGCCCCTCACTTTTGTCCGCATCGCGGGGTGCTACGTACGTGCGTACATACATATGTACTCATCCAGACAGACAAACAGACATATACACATGCACACATGTATGTATCTATCCACGTATATGGTTGTATCCACACCTGTAAATAAACATATCGTATATATACATATGTTTTGGTTTCTGTCCTGCTGCGAAGAAATCTTGTTTCTTAATGTGTAGTTTTTGTGTTCAACCTTTACTCCGTTGCTCCGCAATGGCAGCCCCCAAGGTTGCAATTCCGCTGGACTCGCCACCTTCCGCTGGCCGCCTACCCCGCCAGGACGGGGGGCCGATCGACGAGATCAAGAAGCCCGAGGAGGCGCCGGGCGGGGAGGGCGAGTGCGGGAGGGGAAGAGCATGTGCCCGTGTCGCAAGTCTTCCCTCAGCACCACGGGTGGATTCGTTTCGAAGTCCTGGTCGGAGCGAGCACTTTGGGAGAGGTCCCTGGAGCAGCGACATGGGGTATCAAGGACGCCTGCGCCGAATCGCCGCCGACCCCTTGCCTTTGAGAAGCGCCTGGGTGGCCAGACGTTGTCGCCAGAGTTCGGCCAAGGTGTCGGACTGCGTCGACCCACCCGCGACCCACCCGACGCCCCCGCCGCCCCTTCGCTCTTCTCCGCAACTGCGGGGTGCCACGTACTCCCCCAGCCGTCGTGGAAGCACTTCGGGGCAATGTGGTGACGAAAGGAGTTGGAGGGCAGGGCAGCGAAAGGGGATGAGATCACTCGGGGGTCGTTGTGGGCACTCCGGCGGCCTCCTGGAAGCTTCCTTGGGGCCTGTCGGAAGCCCATCGGGGGCCTCCTTAAGCTCTCTGGGGGCTCTGACAGGGCTTTTCGGGTGTCTCTCAGTCAGTTTATAAAAGGCGTTTTTGGCCCGTCTGACGTCGTCGGAAGCCGACTTGGGGGGTTCTCTGGGCCGAATGGGGGCCCTCTTGGGTCGCTCCAGGGCTGTTTGGATGCCATCTTGGTTGTCTTGAAGGCCTTTGGGGGCCTCTTGGGTCCGTCTTGGAGGCCTCTTGGGTCGTCATGGAGCCATCTTGGAGGCCTCTTGGGCAGTCTGGGGCCGCCTGAAGGCTGACAATACGCAACCGCATCATTCAAACACCTCTGGGCACCTTCAGATGTCAATGCCTTGGCATCTTCGGGCCTTCCTGGAGGACGTCTTGGCAGCTTCTTGGGCCTTCTTTGAGGCCTCTTGGGGGCCTCTTGGGCCGTCGTGAGTCATCTTACAACCATTGTGCCGTCTTGAGAGAATTCTCGGCTGTCGTGGAGACACTTTGCGTCCATCGTGGTCTCTCTCGAGGCCTTCGTGGCCGTCTTGAAGACCATGCTCTCTCGTCTTAGGGGCCGTTTTGGGCCCCTCTTGCGATGGAAGACCGACCGACGGGATATGCAGTCGGCCGGGCTTTCTTGGTGGCCAGCGGGAAAGGCCGAAGGCCCACTTGAAATTTTCAAAAGGAGCAGAAACTACCTACCATTTGGCACGCTATGCATCCCAGGCAAGCCCCAGGGGACGGCGGATCTACTGGCCTTCGTCCACCCCTCCACCGCGCTTCGGTTATAGGTCACAGGCCTGCCGGAGCCCTCTGGCGCGTTTTGGGGCGCTCGTGGCTCCGAGAGATGCATGCGGCAAACGCCCGGGAACCGTAGGAGGCACGCCATGAATACTGGAATCTTTGAGGGGATCTGATGGCAATCCAACTCGTTCCTCGCCAGAAGAAAAACTTCAACCCGTTCCCCGCCGCACGGTGGCGGTTCTCGCTGTTCCCCAGGCCCCCAGGCGAGGAGAAGTGGGAGGCGCAAAAAACCGGCGGGGGGGGGGGCGCGGAGGGGGAGAGCACGGTGATGGGGACGGATAGCAGGAGCAAGAGGGTCGGGGCGATGACGGAGGAGGACGGAGGAGGACGACGAGGAGAAGGGGCGCAGGATTATGCAGAATGGCGAAGAGCACGAGGAGGAGGAGGAAGAGGAGCAGGACGAGGAGGAGCACGAGGAGGAGGATGAGGAGAAGGAGGAGCACGAGGAGGACGAGGAGGAGGAGGAGGAGGATCACGAGGAGGACGAGGAGGAGGAGGAGGAGGAGCAGGAGTAAGAGGACCTGAGTCAACCCAGGACCCATCAACGATATTGCAATACACCTTCCCGAGTTCCCCATGCATGGGTCCCTAGAATAGCTTGCGCGTGCTGCTGGAAGTGCCCCGCTGGAAGGCAACCGTTTGAAAATCACGAGCCGTGCGACGCCGTTAATCAAATCACTGTTGCGTCCTGACGATCCTGACTCGTGCCAAAACACAATGTCTGAGACTTCGACATTTCGAAGCAGCGTGACTGTTGCGCCCTGACAGTCGTTTACCGTGTCAAAGCACACTGTTTGCTACGCCATGCGTATTCATTCTAGAGGTTGGCAACTTCTTAAGACGACTGTGCGTGGCACGAAGGTGAGAATAACAGTTTGAAAAAGAGCCACCTTCCTCCATCGGCGCAACTCTTGGAGACTGCCAACAGGACTGCGCGCGACGCCGGGAGGAGAGCCACATCCTGGAAAGGGAACCGCCCTCCACCGCGGAAGCTCTCCTCTCTCAGACTCCTGAAGACGAAGGGGCGCGGCGCCGGGAAGAGAGCCGCGTTCTCAAAAAAAAGGAGCCGCCCCCTCCCGCCGCGAAGCCCCCTTGCAGCGGTGCGCGGCGTCTCGGCGCGAGGCCTATGCTCTGGGACACCGCCCGCCCTCCACCTGTGAAGCACTTCGGGGGTGGGCAGAACTCCGTCGGCAGCGACACGTCGAGGAGGAGGAGGAGGAGGAGGAGGAGGGAGGAGGGGGAGGAGGAGGAGGAGGAGGAGGAGGAGGAGGGGGAGGAGGAGGAGGAGGAGGAGGGGGAGGAGGGGGAGGAGGAGGAGGAGGAGGAGGACCAGTGCAGACCCAAGACGCATCAGTGAATCGTCCGTTTTCGGTTCTCGAGCGGGCGCCGTGGCCGTCCTTTTCCAGGCCTGCGCCCGCCAGGTTTGGGCCTCGGGTCGTTCTCACGAAGCCACGTTTTGCTGAAGGGAGGTCTGTCCATCCCCGAACACTCCGTCAAACCTGTCGGACGAATGCACGCGGCGCTGCGGCGAGAGCCACATTTTGGAAACCGCCCGCCCTCCATCCGCGACATGGTTGCAAGCGTTAAAGACGAGTGTGCGCGGGCGCTACGGCGAGAGCCACCTTTTGAAATGAGGCGCCCTCCACGCGTGAAACTCCTGCACACATTCAAGACGAACGTGCGCGGCGCTATAGCCATAGCCAAGTTTTGGAAACGGCCCGCCCTTCCATCCGTGAAGCGATCGCCACTTGAAAGTTACAGGATCAGAAAAAGGCGAGGAGATCCCAGGGGAAACGCCTGGCCCTTTCTACGGGCATGTCTCGGGGTGCGAAGGGGAGGAATGATTTTTTAGGACCAGGGAGGAGGAGGAGGAAGAGGAGCAGGAGGAGGTCGGCGACCGCGACGTCGCCGCCTGCGACGCTGCCGCCGACGACCGATGACGGCCGGATGTCTTCGGAGCTCCATTGCGGAAGGCCGCCGGAGGCCCTTGGGGGCGTCCCCGGGGGCCCGAGCTCGTGCGCAGCAGACATCCCGAAGTCTCGATTGCCGCTTCTCGAGCAGAGCGAGCCTCGAAAGCAGCGATCCTACCACAGGACTCGCGCGCCCCGATCCTCGAAGACGGTGGCGGCAGCGGCGCCCGTCGCCGACGAGCCGACGGCGCCGCCGCCGACGACCCGCCAGCGGGCGCCGCCTGCGCCGCCAGCGACGGCGGCGCCGAAGTCGCTGCCGCCGCCGACGACGACGCCGCCCGACGACGACGACGACGACGACCGACGACCAGCGGCTGGAACGACGCCGCCGCCGCCGTCGACTGCGGCGACGGCGGCGGTGCTGTGGCGACGGCGGCAGCGACGACCAGGAGGGGGGAGGGGGCGGCAGGACGAAGAGGCAGGAGGAGGAGGAGGAGGAGGAGGGCTTTCCGGACAGCTCGGTCTCCGCTTGGTGTCGCCAGGGGTTGCAGTGTTGGAGGCTGGTGTTCGCGATGCGCCGTCGACGGCAATCAACCTTCTCCTTCGCCTTCCGGGTCTTGGCCCCCGGTACCTGTTCGCGGCGTACTTGCTCCTGCACATCCACTTCGGCACCGCCTGCACCCCGGGCTCCGGCCGCCTGAGGCCCCGCCTTCCTGTGCCCTCTTTACCTAATTAAAGCTGTGCGTAGCCCGCCTAGCTTTTAGCGGAAGAGCTTCGCTCTCGCCCCGCAGATCAAAACGCTTGTGTCGCCAGGGGTGGTTTTCTTTGGGGTTGTGGCGGGGAGGAGGGAGGAGAGGGAGGCTAGAGCGCGAGAAGAATGTGACAGGTAAGCAGGGCAAGGATCAGGGAAAGGGGCAGACGTTTGGATGATGACATTGGCGAGTGTCTAGGGTTGGCCACCACCTGGCGGGCACCAGTTCCTCGCAGGGGGAGGACGACCAGGCGCACGAGTAGGAAGAGTCGCAGGAGCAGGAACAGAAGCTCGAGCGGCAGCAGAGGCGTGAGCGGGAGGAGGAGTGACGAGGGCGAGACGATGAGGAGCAGGAGGAGGGAGGCGAGGACGTCGACAAGGACGACGGCGACGAGGAGGAAGACCCGTCAGGTGCGCGACGAGCCGTACGCGCTGCCCGACCAGTTCGAGTGGTGCGAGGTCGACGTCGACGACGACGTTCAAGCGCAAGAGGCCGCATTCTCTTGCTTCTGCATGCGAGAAGCACGAGGATCGGGTCGGGCGAAAGGGGGGGATTGGGAAAGGGGGGGTTACGAAATTTGCTGCATGCAGCTGGTTTCGGCCTCACCGAGGGGCCCATTCCTCGATACATGGGCGCCTCCGGCGCCGGGAGGCGCCGGGAAAATCAGCTACGTGAGCTGATTCTCAAACCCCCCCTTTGCTATCCCCCCCTTTCGCCCGACCCGAGAGGAGCACGTGATTCGGCGACGAAGGCACTGCGTGGCCACAGCTTCGGGGGGCCTGGACCGGCTCCGGCGCCGCCCCTGGCTCGCCCCGCTCGCCCCGCTCGCCCGTCTCGCTTCGACTCAGGAATATCAAGAGGGAAAGAATCACACAGACACAATGAATCGTCGATGTCCAGGAAAATATGGGGAAATAATATGGGAAGCGGGGGGGAAGCCCAAGCCCAGAAAACATGAGAGAATACAGGGACTCCTGTTAGTTGTGCGTGTTTATTTGTGTGTCCCAGGGCCCCTGAAAGGAAGTCCGCGCGGACCTCCGAGAGTTCGTGCTTATGCAGATGCTTTTTTTGGGGGGGGCAGCGGGGAAGGGATCCGTCGGGGGCGGCAATGGGGGGGGACATGACTAGGGGGGGGGGTAGATATCATGGCGCGGGCCATGATATCTCCACAGATTTCCTGGCGCCTCTTCTCGTTTCATTGCGTCCCTGGCCCCCCCCCCTGGGCCGCGCACATGCCGCTGGTCATGATTTGCACCCCCCCCTCTTGGACACCCCCCCCTTGGCCGCTCCCGAATTCACTCAGCGAGGAGCCAGAGAGGGCAGGGCGGCAGTTCTGACGGTTGCGGAGGTCCTTGGTGGTCCTCGGAGGTTGTTTCTGGCACCGGGGCGGTCTCCATCGGCTGCGCCTCGCCAGGAGCCTCTCTCGGGGTGGCCAGGTGAGTCCCCCATCGGGCGCTTCCGGTCCGAGTGACGGCCAGAAAGCCACCAGGCTTTCCCTCTCCTCCTCCTCTTCCTCCTCCTCCTCCTCCTCCTCCTCCTCCTCCTCCTCCTCCTCCTCCTCCTCCCCCCGAGGAGGCCAGCGGCTTTGACTCCTGCATGCGAGGGAAAGCATGTTTGCTTGACGTCTGCCGAGATCTCGTGGATGGCTCCTGCAGGTTGTCGGGCCCCCAAGTCGAGCTGTGCCTCGCCAGAAGCGTTGCACGCTTCCGCCTCGTCGTCGGTCATGGCTCGAATTCACGTCCGCAGCGACTCGGCCAGCTCAGGAAGAAGTGATGCGCTGCCTCCCCACGAGCGCACCTCCACGATTACCGGCCAGCCTAAGAGAATCGCTTGCAACTGGCCGTTGTAATCAAACATGTGATGCGTTGCTCTGAGGCTGGATGCCAAGGTCGCCCTCTCCAGCGTAGATGACTACTGTGACATTTCATATCAACAGCCACTCGGCATCGCAGCGCTCGCCGCAACACCAGGATCTCTGGTTTTGGTCCCACCCCTGAGTCTCTCGGCGGTGAATAGGGTTGGTCCTGAAACTGGTCCCTCCTCCTCCCCCCCTCTTCCCCCTCCCGCCCTCTCCCCCTCCTACTCCTCCCCCTCCTCCTCCTCCTCCTCCTCCTCGTCCTCCTCGTCCTCCTCCCTCTCCTTCTCGTGTCATTCCTGAGGAGGAGGAGGGGGAGGAGGAGGAGGAGGAGGAGTTTCTGAGAGCGCTCCTGAGGCATATATATATATATATATAGTAGTAGTAGTAGTAGTAGTAGTAGTAGTAGTAGTCGTCGCAGTCGTGGTCGCAACCGATGACGTAGCTGTTGTTGTCGTCGTTGCGCGGTGGATGCCGCGGAAAACGAAATAATTACCCCCTATTGGTGGGACCTCAGTTCTTCAACCAGGCCGCCGAACAAATAATTAGTTACCCCCTGATTGCGGGGTGGGTTGTGAAAGACCTTGTAGAGGTGATTGGTAAATTTATGTCCAAGGTGTAGCATACCCAACCCCTTCTGCAACCTCTCAACTTGAAGCCGCGCGGGGCAGCTCGTGCCGCGACTGACTGATCACTGGGACGGACAATTCCAAAGGTTATCGATTTTGAACAGCTGTCGGGAGCCCAAGACCGAAGAGTCCAAGACACATTGACATTTGGATGGCAATATCTTGCAACGCGCACGCGGCGACCTGGTGCCAACGATGACCGAGTCGAAGTTCGAGGAACATGGGGTGCCATCCTCCTGCCCTCGTTCTTCCGTCACCTTCTTCTTCTTCTTCTTCTGGGGAAGGGAAGGGTTGGATAGGGATAGAGAGGAGAGACAGGATGGGGTATGCAGACAGAAGGACAGGGGAGAGAGGGTTGTATATGTGGATAGGCAAAGGGGGGAGGGAAGGAGGAGAACAGTTGGAGTAGGAGGGGGGGTGCAGGCGAGGAATCTCGCAATCGATGTCCGTGCATTGGAGGTCTACGTTCTTTTGCGCGACAACTACGTCGAGGATGACGACAGCATGTTCCGCTTTGATTATTCGATCGCATTCTTGAGGCCTTGCATTGTTGTTTGGCGGGTGGGTTGAGGGGGGAAGTGCAGCCGCAAGACTTAGCATGTCTTGCCAGGCATAGCAACAAATGGGGCAAGGCGGAGGGAAAGAGGGAACAGCGGGAGCAGGAACAGGAGGGGGGAAGGTTGGAGCGGCATGATATGGGAGGATGAAGCGGGAGGAGGAAGGAGGAGGGGAGGGGGGATTGCAGCCGTGCGAGCGGATTGCGATTCGGGCGAGTTGGCCCGAAGGCGTCTCGAATGTCATCTCTGCTGAAAATGAAGCCAAGGCTGAAGCGCACGGAACAGAA